AAGTAAAATGATATCTTCACAGATGACATGACCTTTTATATGTAGAGAATGCTAAAGTTTACAAACAACCCCCTGGCCTCCCACACAAATAACTGTTACAACTAATAAGTAAATTTATCAAAGATTCAGAAAAAAAAAACCACACAAAACTCAGTTTTGTTTCTGTATACTAATAATAAAATTAAGAAACAATCCCATTTACACTAGCACCAAAAAGGATAAATACTTAGGAGTGAATTTAACGAAGGAAGTGAAAGGCTTGTATACTAAAAATGACAAAACACTGCTAAAAGAAGTTAAAGATACAAATAAATGGAAAGATATCCTGGGCTTATAGATTATAAAACTTAATATTTTTTAAATGTCTATAATACCCAAAGCTATCTACAGATTCAGTGCAATCACTTTCAAAATACCAATGGCATTTTTAAAACAAGGGGAAAAAAATTCTAAAATCCATATGGAATCTCAAAGGACTTTTAATACTCTAAATAATTTTGAAAATGAAAAAAAAATTGGTGACTTCACACTTCCTAATATCAAAACACACTACAAAGCCAGTAAATAAAATGTCATGTTACTGGCATGAAGATCAACACATACACCAGTGGAACAGAACATAGTTCCCAGAACTAAATTCTTACATATATAGGCAAATTATTTTTGACAAGGATGCCAAAACTACAAAATAGGAAAAGGGCAGTCTCTTCAACAAATAATGTCAGGAAAACTGGATATCCACATGCAAAATAATGAAGTTGGACCCTTACCTCACTCCATATGTAAAAATTAACTCAAAATGGATTAAAGACCCAAACACAAGACTTAAAACTACAAAAACACTAACAGAAAATATAGGAAAAACATCTTTATGTTACTGGATATTTGGCAATGATTTCTTGGAGGTGACACCAGAAGTGTAACTCAACAAGTATGTAAGTAACTCAACAACACCAAAGAACCTGACTAAAGAAAATGGACAAAGGATATGAATAAACATCTTTCCAAAAAAAGATATACAAATGGCCAAAAAGCACATGAAAAGATGTTCAACATCACTAACCATTAAAGAACTACAAATTAAAATCACCATGAGGTATCACCTCATACCCATCAGGATGGCCACTATCAAAAGAACAGAAAATAACAAGTATTGGTGAGGATGTGAGGAAACTGTAATCCTTGCATGCTGTTGGTGGAAATGCAAAATGGTGCAATCACTATGGAAACCAATATGATGGTTCCTCAAAAAATTAAAAATAGAATTACCATGTGGTACAGCACTCTCACTTCTAGGTATACATCCAAAATAATTCAGAACAAGTTCTTAAAGAGACCTTTGCACCTCCATATTCATCACAGCATTATACACAATAGCCAACAGATGGAAGCAATTTGAATGTCCTTCACAGTTTAATAGATAAAGAAAATGTGGTATACATACACAATGGACTATTATGCAGCCTTAAAATACAAGGAAATCTTTCCTCATGCTATAGCATAAATGAACACTGAGGACATCATGTTAAGTGAAATAAACAAAATAAGAAGTGACAAAAAGACAAATACTGTATAATTCCAATCATATGAGGTATTTAAAGTAATTGAAGTCAAAAAGCAGAACATAGAAATATGGTTACAATGGCTGAGGTGAACGAAAAGAAAAAAATTAGTATTCAGTGAGTAAAGCTTCAGTGTTGTAATACGAAAAGTTCTAAAGATATGTTGTATAACAATGTGAATATACTTAACACTACTCAACTATATACTTAATAATGGTTAAGATGGTAAATTTAATGTTATATATTTTTACCACAATTTTTAAAACCTGCAACTAAATAAAAGTCTTCTTTTTTTTAGGCTTATACAATGTGAAATAATTAATTATTAGAAGACTTGCCTTCTAAGAAATGTAGTACTTCAGGTAGAAGGAAAATGGCATCAGATGGAACTATGAATCTAGAAAAAGAATGAAGAACACTGGAAATGTCAAGTATGTAGGTAAATATAAAATTTTCTTATTTTAAAAAATTCTTGGCCGGGCTCAGTGGCTCAGCTTATAATCCCGTGCTTTGGGCAGCTGAGGTGGGTGAATTGCCTGAGTCCTTGGGTTCAAGACCTGCCTGGGCAACTTGGCAAGACCTCATCTCCACAATAAATAAATTAAAAAAATTAGCCGGGTATGGTAGCGCACGCCTGTAGTTCCAACTACTTGGAAGGCGGAGGTGAAAGGATCGCCGGATCCCAGCAGGTCGAGGGTGTGGTGGCCAGGAGCGTGCACTGCACTCCAGTCTGGGCAACAGAGTGAGACTCCAACTCAAAAAAAAAAATTCTTTCCAAGACAAATGACTATTACAAGCAAAAATAATAACTGTCATTGTTGCATATATTACACATATTAAATATATAATAAATAATTCATATAACTTCAATTTAATAATTTAACATATTATTATTGTATGACTTATATGTAGAAGTAAATGTATGACAACATTAACACAAAGACCAGGAAGGAAGACATGGAAGTATAATGTAAGATTCTAATTCTATATATAAGATGGCATAATATTACTTGTGATAAGTTAAAGATTTTGTTATGGGTTGAATTGTGCCCTCTCAAAATATATGTTCAGGTCCCAATCTCACTACCTGTAGATATGTCCTTATTTGGAAATAGGGTTTTTGCAGATGTAACCAAATAAGATGATGTATACCGGATTAGGGCAAACCTCTTTCCAATGACTGACGTCTTTTAAGACAAGGGAAATTTGGGCACATGAACCCACACAGAGGGACAATAGCTGCATAAAGTCACAAAAACATAGGAGTAAATGTTACGTGAATAAAGATGCAAAGACATATCTACAAGCCAAGGGACAGCAGGAATTGCTGGCAACCACCAGATGCTAGGAGATAAAGATAGAACAGATTCTCTTTCAAGGCCTTCAATAGAAACCAACCCTGCCAAGTCATTGATTTAAGATTTCTACAACAGTGAAAGAATAAATTTGTTGTTTTAAGCCACATAGTTTGTGATACTTTCTTAAGACAGCCTTAGAAAACTTTAGCACATATACTCTACATGCTGAAGCAATCATTATAATTTTTAAAGAATTATAGCTAATAGGATACCAAAGGAGATAAAATGGAAAAAAATTAAATTCATCCAAAAAAGACAGAAGAAAATGTAGAACAGATGGGACAAACAGAAAACAAATAGCAAGATGACAGATTTAAACCCTAGAATATAAAAATCATATTAAACATAAATGATCTAAACACTCCCCCCAATTAAAAGTCAGAAATTGTCTATATAAAAAACAAAATCCAACCATATACTGCCTATAAGAAACTCACAGTAAATCTAAAAACTCAAATAGGTTAAAAGAATGGGAAAATTGCTTCATGCTAACACAAATCAAAAGTTACTGATATTAATATTAAACAAGTAGATTTTAAAGCCAAGAATGTTGCCAGGGAATAAGGGGGTTATCGCATGATGATACAGGAATCAATTCATCCTAAATGTTTATTCACATAATAACGCAACTTGAAAATAACATGAAGAGCTGATAGAACTGAAAAGGGAAACAAAAAAATCTCCATGATTGTTGGAGATTTCAATAAACTACTCTGCAGACATTCAGAAAGTATAGAGAAGATTTAACACTATCAACCAACTTGTGCTAATTGGTATTTTTAGAATTCTTGGCAGTACAGTAGAGTATACATTCTTTTCAAGCACACATAGAACACTTACCAAGATAGATGAGAATCTGCACTATCAATCTCAATACATTTTAAAAGATAAAAAGCTTACAAAGTATATTTTCTGACCACAGTAGAACTGGATTAGAAGTCCATAACAAAATGATATCTGGAAAATGAAAAATATTCAGCAAAAACACTTCTAAATAACAGGCCAAAGAAGAAAACTGGAAAATCTTTTGAACTGAATTAAAATAATATATACAACATTTTAAAGATCTGTGGGATATAGTTAAATCAGTGGAAATTTGTAGTGGTAAACACATATATTAGCTGGGAAAAATATCTAAAAACAATGACTACAGCCATGTCTTCAAGAAACTAGATAAGGAGAACTTAAATTTTAGGTAAGAATAAGAAAGGAAATAATAAAAATCAAATAGAAAACACAAATCAACAGGAATAAAGCAAAGAAACCAAAAAGTGGTTATTTGAGACTTAAATAAATAAATAAACCATTAGCCAAATTGATCAGGCATAAAAAAGAGAAGACCCAAATGACTTTTATCGAGAAAGAAGTGACTTCACTACAGGTCATACAGATATTAAAGGGTAATAAAATGTTTTTGAACAATTAAATCAGAACTGTCCAATGGAAATGTAATGCAAACCACATATATAATGTAAAATGTTCCAGTAGCCATACTTAAAAAGCAAGAAGAAACGTGGTGACATTCACGCACGCCTGCTTTCAAATAAGCAGCTCTCTGGAGGGCGTCAGGAATCCACAGAAAAACAAAGCTCTAGCTCTTGAGGCACTCAGATTATGGTGGAACAACCAAACTGATCATAAAAATGGCACGGGAAGCTGAAGTTCCAAGGAAGAGTAGAAAATCGATGGAGTAAAGAAATCTCAGCTTCTTTTGCCTTCGTTTCAACCTGAGTTCCCCTTCTGTGCCAAGAGCGCTGCAGTTTTCACATAAGCCATGCCAAGATCATGAGGTAGGCTCTATTGACCAAGAAATTAAGTAATGTGCTCAAGGTAGGTTTCAGTGGAAGAGGCAGATTTAGAGTCACCACATTTATATCTCTAATTTTACAATTTCTACGAACTCTGTCTTGAGGGGGCGAGAGTAAGTGGAGAGAGCAAGCGACCTCTACTCCAGCCAAACGCACCGTTCAGCCGCCCTCCCGCGGCCGGAAACCCTGCCGCAGGAAGCCGCTCCTGGGTAACCATCTCGGTTCTAGAATTCAATTAGTGGCCGCAACCTTGCGCCCGCCCAGACTGAGTCACGTGGCAGTCAAAGATGGCTGCGCCCCGGCGAATTGAGCGAAGGTGTCCGTGAACCCCGTCAGGCGTGGCCGAGGACGACCTGGAGAGGTAGCGGCTGCTGAGAGAAGCAGAGGTACTGGCGTTCCTGAGTAAGGGGTGAAGCAAATGTCTCGACATCAGTATAAGCATGGCGCGGTGACACGCTGGCCACCATCAGCGCTGCGCAGAAATAAGATATAGAAGGAGTGGAGTTGGTCCTACGACACTGACTTTTCCATTCCAGAAGGAAAGACCTTGGATTTATTTATTTATTTTAGAGAGACAGGGCTTCACTCTCTCTTCCAGGCTGGAGTGCAGTGGCGCAATCGTAGCTCACCGTAGCCTCGAATTCCTGGGCTCAAGCGATCGCTCCTGCGGCGGCCTCCCTAGTAGTTATTTGCTACAAGCCTGTGCCACCACACGTGTGTGTGTGTGTGTAGACGGGGGTCTTGCCAAGGCAGATCTCAATTACAGACTTCAAGCCATTCTCCGGACTCAGCCTCCCAATGTGTGTGTGTGTGTGTGTGTGTGTGTGTGTGTGTGTGTGTGTTGTGATGTGTGGTGTGTGTGGAGACGGGGGTCTTGCTGGGTTGCCAAGGCAGATCTCAATTACAGACTTCAAGCCATTCTCCGGACTCAGCCTCCCAAAGTTCTGGGATTACAGGTGTGAACTACCATGCCCAGCCAAGACTTTATATTAAGCCATTAGGAGAAAATGACTGTGATTGAATTTAATACTGGGTTTGCTGCCAATTTACTGGGTGACCTTGGCCAAATTTAGTTTTCAAAGGCCCCATTTTACACATTGCCTCTCAAAGCTCTCCTGAGTGACATGAGGTTAACAGATGCAAAGATCTTTTGAAATGTTTGTATTTAAAGATGGCATTGTCTTTGATAGGGATTTATTATTAATATCAGAGACACAATGACCTATGGGACCTCCTAGTCAGGACTTTTACTGAATTAAGGGTGACTATTAAAACACACCACAGAAATGCACATTTTGCAGAACTTGGAACCTCACCAATATGCAGATCATAGAACACAATAGTAGTGATAGCATTGGGGCCAACATTTCGAGGAAGTCATTTATTTCCAACATATATATCATACACTTTATATGTTTATATACACACACGTAACTGAATTTGATTATATATTTCTTCACCCCATACACAAAATCATTCAGAGCTCCTGTACAGCAGGGATTCTATCATCTTATTGTAACCAAGGCCCGCAAAGCTTTGAGTCCTAGAAACCTAGACCTAAATCTCTGAGGTTGCATTGTGCTTATTAGGTTTAAGTCTACAGATACGGAATTTCCAAATGACCGCTTATCCATGTAAAACAGGTAGCCATATCTGTTAAATTAGTGCTGTAAATTACTTATGTAGCAAAATGACAATGAACCAAGAAAATCTGATTTTGCAAAATCCATATTGTCATTTGCTATTATCCCTTAACTTTTGCTTTTCTTAACTGTTACCCAGAAATCTGCTGTTTAATGAGCTAAATCTTCAGCTTAAAACTCATCACTCACCATTCCTACTTTTGACATTTTCACCTTACCTAGTGCAGACATCAACAAACTACTGACTTAACGTAGCCCATATGTAGCCTACAGCTTATTTCTATAAGCTGGTCTGCTAAGAATGATTTTTATATTTTTAAAGAGTTTTTTTTTAAAGGATTTCAACAAAAACCATGTTTTGTGCAAAGCCTGAAATATTTGCCATCTGGCCCCATAGAGAAGTTTGCTGATCCCTGCTGCAGGGTATACCTAGAAATGAAAATACTGGGTATGTGTGTCTCCTACATACTAAATAATACCAAATTCTTTCCCAAAGTGGCTGTACCCACCTTGGGTACAAATTACACTTCCACCAGCTGCACATGAGAATTTCAGCAACCCCACATTCTTGCCAGTAATCAGAATTGTCAGATTTTAATTTTAGCTAACCTGTGAGTACCTACTGTTATCTCACTATGGTTTTCTCTTTCCCTGAGTATAATGAAATTGTGCATATTTTCATGTTTATTGGCTGTTTGATTTCCCTCTTTTTATGAAGCACCTGCTCAAATCTTTTGTCAGTTTGTCTATAGGGCTGCTTACCTTTTTCTTGTTGATTTGTAGTTCAGTATATGTTCTAGGAACTAGCAGCTCTTTTGTCAAATGTATTGAAAACATTTTCTACCATACTAGTTTATCTTTGTGGTGCTGACTGAATACCACGACGAGTTCTTGATGTTAGTTTTATAAGTGTTTTAAGTTCTATTTGTGAATTGTTTAGGAAAAATGTTTTAAGGATTGTGAAGATATTCTATATTCCCTCAAAGCTTTATGTGTTGCTTTTCATGTTCTGGTTTCTGTTTTGAGATTTTTATTTTGGTATGGCATTTATGCTTTTTTATTCAGATTTTGAACTCTACATTGCTTTCAAAGTTAAGTACTCATAAGGCTGGGCACAGTGGCTCATGCAGTAATTCCATCACTTTGGAAGGCTGAGGCAGCAGGGTTGCTTGAGCCCAGGAGTCTGGGACCAATAGAGGTAGCATAGTGAGACCTCATCTCTATAAAAAAATAAAATAAAATTATTAGCCTGGTATGGTGGCATGTACCTGTAGTCCCAGGTACTCAGGAGGCTAAGGCTGCAGTGAGCTCTGATTGTGCCACTGTACTCCAGCTTGGGTGAGAGTGAGACAGTGACACACAAATTAAGTACTTATAGGGGGGCCCCCAAAACAGCCCTGGAATTTGTTAAAAATTGGCATTTATTCTTTTTTTACTCTTATTTTTTAAAAATTTATTATCTATTCTTACATGTTCAAACTTCAGTCACCTTCAAAGTACTCTCCATTTGATGCAATACACCAGCAGTCCTCAACTTTTTTGGCATCAGGGACCGGTTTTGTGGAAGATAATTTTTCCACAATCAATGGGAGCCACACCCCATTGCTCACATTACCATCTGAGCTTCACATCCTGTCAGGTCAGCGGTATCATTAGATTCTCATAGGAATGCAAACCCTATTGTGAACTGCACATGTGAGGGATCTCTATTGTGTACTCCTTATGAGAATCTGCCTGATGATTTGAGGTGGAGCTGAGGCAGTGATGTTAGCCCTGGGAAGCAGCTGCAAATACAGATAAACATTAGCCCACTGCTCACCTCCTGCTGTGCAGCCCAGTTCTTAACAGGCCAGTTCGTGACCTCAGGGTTGGGAACCCCTGCAATACACCTATAGAGATGCCTTTTCCACTCCTCAGAAGAGTTTTTGAACTTATCAATTTGGATGCCTTTTAAAAAGTGCTTCTGCCGTTTTTTGTTTCACCTCTTCCACATCAGCAAAATGTTTCCCTTTGAGGACTTTTCTCATCCAGGGAAACAAACTCGGATGGGGTGAATAGGGAGGGTGGGGTATGAGGGATCATGCTGTTTTTGGCCAAAAACTGCTGAATATTCAGCATAGTGTGGGCAGATGCACTTGTAAATCACACATCATGAAATGAGCAAACATGTTGAATGAATCTCTAAAAAAATTCACTGAAGCTGAAAGCACCCTCTCACAACACTAGCTGGTACACTGATGCCGATGGGTTCCTAGAACACTTACCTAGCCTGGGAAGCTTGTACAAGGGGCCCACCCTTCAAAATATAATTACAGGTTTTTTGGGGTCCCCCAGTATAGCCTTCAGAAGACTTTTTATTGTTTTTCCATAGAAATATACTATTTAAAAATTATATTTCTATGTTTTTTTAAGGCTCAACATGGAAAATCATAAACCTAGTGATACCAACGAGAAAAACTTAACAATTTTTGATATCATAACAAGAAAAATTAACCAGCTTCCCGAAGCAGACAGGTAAGATCATGTCTTAATTTATAAATATATTTTATCAAATAGATTTTTACCATTGACTCAATATCTCGAAGTATCTGGTTTGAGTAAAAGCAACATAGGATATCAAAAGGAACTGAGCCCTTTTCTTACCTGGATGAGAAAGCAGAGGACCAGAGAGATTAACCTTTTTGGTCAACACCACATGGCTAATTTTGGAATTCAAGATTAGAACTCATGTCTTTGGACATATCTAATTGTATAATTCAGTTTTTCCGTTTGGCTTGGAATACAGTGAAACATAAACATTATGGACCCATTTAAATAACAAAACATTAAAATAACTTAAAATGTCTTCTTTCTCATTTGTCAGTGTGCTTATCAATCTAAAAGAGTACGTGGAACCCACATAGCTAGACAAAGAATGTCAAATATGGGACCATTGCTAAAGATCTTTAGGATATTGTTAAAGAGAGGAAAAATATACATATATATAGGGAACATGATGCTCTTTGAAGGCAATACAGGCAACTACACAGTGCACTTCCACAAAATGTTCTTAGACTTCCCTGGCACTCAAGGTTTGACTTTAAAAGGATGAAAAGGAGTCATCCTGGGAAGGAGGAACAGACGGTATCTTAGGTAGAAGGAATGGCATATGCCTAGCCACAGGATAACAAAGGGTTTGTCATGTCTGAGGAACCATTGTTACTAAAGTACAAGGAAACTGGGCTTAAGGAACAGGAAGAGTTTTGAGCAGGGGAATGATGTGATGCTGCTAACATTTCTAAAGAACATTCCAACTTCAGATTTGAGCCGGGCTCGGTGGCTTAGCCTGTAATCCCGTGCCTTTGGGAGGCTGAGGTGAGTGGATTGCCTGAGCCCGCAGGTTCGAGACCCGCCTGGACAGAGAGACCTCATCTCTACAATAAATAAAAAAAATCAGCCGGGCATGGTAGCGCATGCCTGTAATTCCAGCTACTCAGAAGGCTGAGGCGGAAGGATGGCTGGAGCGCTGGAGCCCAGGAGGCGAGGCTGCAGTGACCAGAAGCGGCTACTGCACTCCAGTCTGGGTGACCGAGTGAGACTCCAACTCAAAAAAAAAAAAGAAAACAGATTTGAGAGAAAAGAAATAGTAAGACCAGTAGAAAAACTGGCCAAGTAATCCCAGTGAGTGGAGATGGTAGAGTGGTAATGGCTGGGATGAAAGGATGATAGATTTGAAATACATTTTGGAGTATAATCTTACTATATCTTCAGGAATGAAAACTGCACTATTCAGTCTTACTGCCACTTGCCATCTTAACAAGGGAGAACCTGTAAACCAAGAGCAGTAGTAATAAGAACTTGGTGTGATTTCAAAAGCTTTATATTCCTTCCCCCACCCCCAACACACACACTTTCCATTTTTGAGATAAAGAAAAACTTTTTTAAAAGAACAAATGTCCATATTTCCAGGCCAGCAAGATAGGGAAAGCCAAAAAGACTGAAACAAGGAAGCGTAGATGGTGGCAGCTTTGAAAGAGGCAGGCCGTGTCTCTGGACCTTTCACCAAATTAGGAAGGAGAACTGCACCTGCAAAGTAAGATTTAGTTTGGAGGCAGTACTTGGCTTTTAATCATTGATGCCTAAACTGGGCAGATAATGGTGTCCTTGCCTTGTTCCTATGTTTTCTCTTCATTACCGTTTTATCTTCTAAGTTTGAATACTCATTTTTGTATTATCAAACAGATATTTAACAATTATTTGGTTTTTTTTATTTTTGAGTTGAAGTCTCACTCTGTCACCTAGGCTGGAATGCAGTGGCACACTCATGGCCACCGGCCACCCCAGCGCCTACCTGGTGGGCTCTAGCAATCCTTCTGCCTCAGCCTTCAAAGTAGCTGGAACTACAGGCACACACTACCACGCCCGACTCATTTTTTATTTATCGTAGAGATGAGATCTTGCCAAGTTGCCCAGGCAGGTCTCAAACCTGTGGGCTCAGGCCATCCACTCGCCTTGGCCTCCCAAAAGGCTGGAATTACAGGCTGAGCCACTGAACCCAGCCATTTGGTATGTTCTCAAGTGTATGGAGTTTTAATATCAAAAACTTCATTTTCTGATCCACAGATTCATGTACCACATATTTCACTGCCATTGATTAAATGTGGCCTTATTATTTCCTTCTAGTTACTACCTATGTATGTCTTGTCGAGAGTTTTTAGTTGTGTAGGAACATTTTTGGGAAACTGCAAAGGACTAACATTTTTGTACCAATTAGCTAAAAAATTAAACTTTCGCTTCTGGGAGACAGCAAATTTTGTTATGCAGATTCCACTTCTTTTCATTTATATATGTAACATATATATAAATGTTGACTTTTTATTTAACACACACATAAATGTGGGCAAATTATGTATCTCTCTGAACGTTGGTTCCTATGGCTAAAATGAGGATAACATATATTTCACGATTGTTATAATGCAGTGTTTTAGAGTGATCAACTTTCTCATTCTCTCAACCCCCACAAAAAACACAGGCTTTTCACATTTACATGTGGTTGTTTGGTAGGTTCTCTAGGCTCTCATCACTCTATTATCTTGAATAAGTTCCTAAACTGCCACTCTTGTACTGCCATTACCATTTTTATAGCCTGCTGTTATATTTCACGTTTACATATCTTTCTTCTCCAGTAACCCAACTATGAAAACCTTAAAGGTAGAAGATAATTTTTTGTGCTTTAGCACTAAGTCTGCTGCATATAGTGGGTTCTCAATGAGTGAAATGACAGGTAAGAAAAGTAATACATACACAACACAGGAAGCTTAACTAGAAGCTCCTAGAAGAAGCTGTTTTAAGATGAGTGTAAACCATAGAGTAAAAGGAGTACTGTGTGGCTAGTTTGGCTAGTTAAGAGGAATGAGAAATTTATGAGTGACAGCATTTTAGATGGTAGAGCAGGTGGAAAAAATGCTAAGTAGTAGGCTGGAAAGTTTGAAGTATTTTCAATATCCAACAATAACGTTAGGTATTATTTTTTACCCAAACTAAAGAATGCATAGAGCTTGGGTTATAAATTCATGTATACTTTGGCTTAAAATTCAGTTCTATCACTATCTCAAAACATCAGTGTATTCAACAGATTGTTATAAAGTACCTAGCCAAATTCAAGTCTTTTAGAATAAAAATCTATATGTAAAACAATGATTTCTCTTAAGAGTTTTGGTTTTATGGAGCTATAGGGGATAGATGGTATATCTAGTTACTATACTCCCTAAGTCCTCTAAGTTTTGTACCACATGCCAGAATCGGAGCGCTCACAAGCAAAATGAAGCCAGTTTTTTTTTTTCTAACCCTTTCAGGAATCTCCTTGAACATGGATCAACATGTGTTGGCCTTAATGCTGCTCTCTGTGGCCTAGTAGCAAACAGTCTTTTTCGACGCACCTTGAACGTGACACAAGCTCGTATAGCTGCTGGCTTACCAATGGCTGTGATCCCATTTTTGACATCAAATGTAGCTTACAAAAGTTTTGTAAGTTTTCCTTTGAGTACAGGTAAATTGTTTCACTATAACCAGAGTTTGCCTTGGTATATGTTATTTGCAACTTTAGTTAATACTTACAATATTAATACCAAGTAGGTACAACCTGTAATGCAGTGTTTGCATAGAATCTTGCTAGCCTCTCTATGTAATGTGGCAAATACTACATAGAAACACGGTCTACCAACCAAGATAAATATATCCAGCATTTATAAATACTATCCTTTATCTAACTTATCTTTCCCCAGTGCTTATTTAGAGTAAAAAATATTTGGAAACCTCCTTTTTTTTTAAATGAAGGCTGTCTTTGTTTAAAATTTATATTTTACAGAGAAGTTCCTTAAAAGGGAAAAAATATTTTATAGGAGTGTGACTTTATATAGTAAATCTCTCAAAGCACTAAATGCATGTATAAAACTTAACAAATACATGGAATTGATTTCCTTTTGTAAGTTAACCATGTGCTGAGTGCTTTAACTATAACTAATCATTAAAATATTTTAATAATTTCAAACAAAAATATTACCCTGGGGGCCAGGGCAGGCAGTCCATCTAAATTATCTTTATTTTCTGTTAAGTACTTCTCCAAATTTTTTTAAATTGGATGAATATTTTGTTTGACTCCCCATGTCCAGTGTGGAAAGAATTTTTATGATCAAGGAAAACAACCTACTGCCTAGTGAAATGAATTGAGTGAAAATATTAGTCCAGGTCTATTGATACAAATGCAACATGCAGAAAGCTAGCAGCAGTCCAGACCCTGAGTTTAATATGTTCAAATTCAAAACAAGTTAGAGAATTTTTCCCCTAGTTTTTTTCTAAGATTTGTATCAGTTATTCCTGGTTATTTTAAGTTACCTGCATATGTAATTACCCGTATATGTAATTATACCTTCTAACATGCCCTGCAGAATTGCATTCACTATATTATTGCTTGAAAAATATCTGTGATACATATAAGATGACTTTCCATTCTCTTTAAATCATGTTTGTTTGATTATCACAATAACTATTTTATTTCCTAGGTGATTTGAATTGTGAAACCTGTACCATAACACGGGGTGGATTAGTTGGTCTTGTTTTTGGTGGTCTGTATCCTGTTTTCTTGGCTATACCTGTGAATGGTGGCCTAGCAGCCAGGTAGGATTGTTTTCTTATAATCGATGATAAACCTTATATATGTGATTACCTAGAAAATGCACAACATAAAGCAGCATATACTTTCTACTTTTAAGGCATTATTATACTAAAGACAGTATTACCTTCTTGATTAGAAGTTAATAAGACTTGTTTGTTCTTATAATCAGATTTTACTCCACAAGAATTTGAAACCGTTCTACAACTTGATTACATTGTGCCTCTTGGTGTGTAGTTCAGGCCACTAGCCTTAATTTGTTATTGAATGCTAACTACAATGCTGCAAACAGTACTATGTGTGAAAGCTATATTATATAAATGGTTTTCTTAGTTAAACTTGAGTACTTTCACTAAAGGAAAATTCCATCAGAAAATGTCAGGCTATAAGCCTGCTACACCAAAATAATTCTGGTTATTCTCTGGTGAACTCTTTACATCTACAGTCTATGCTATATGAGTCGTCAGATTTGAACCTCAGAAAGAGGCAAAAGAAAACAGAACAGGTTTTATGACTAATAGACACTGAAGAGCATTACCTTAATCTTTAGTTGTCAAGACTTCTAGGATTAACATACACTGTACATAGGTTTGCCACTTGATACAACAATCTTTTCTAGTGAAATATCTCAATCTTTTCTTACAGGTATGAATCAACTCTGCTACCAGAGAAAGGAAACATCTTAAATTACTGGATTAGGATTTCTGTGCCTGTCTTTAGAAAGATGTTATTTCCCGTTTTGCTCCAGACTGCGTTTGCAGCATACCTTGGGTCTAGACAATATAAACTACTTATTAAGGCCCTTCAATTACCCGAACCTGGCCTAGAAATTCACTGATTTTAAATAGTATGTACACAAAAATAAAATGGCAAAAATAACCAATGTCTAATGTTATAAATAGACTTTTATCACACGAGGTACAACTCTGGAACTTACAACAAAAGGTCCCTACCAGGGCACAAAATCTGAATCCTAGTAAAGTCTACCCACTTAAAGAGCTTAACTTCCTAGTTTTACAATATTGTCTCTTTTCACCCTGCTTGCTTTACATTAGGCACTGAGTTTGATCTGCAACACGAGAAAAAATAATTAAGTTATTTTCCACTAAAGACTTTATTTATTTATTTATTTTATTTTTGAGTCGGAGTCTCACTTTTGTTGCCCAGGCTGGAGTGCAGTGACACACTGCTCACAGCCACGGCAGCCTCGACCTGCTGGGCTCAATCAATCCTTCTGCCTCAGCCTTCCACGTAGCTGGAACTACAGGCACATGCCACCATGCCTGGCTAATTTTTTGACTTACTATAGAGATGAGGTCTCACACCAAGTTGCCTGGGCTGGTCTTGAACCCATGGGCTCAGGCAGTCCACTCACCTTGACCTCCCAAAGTGCTGGGATTACAGGCTGAGCCACCGAGCCAAGCCCCGCCTCACTAAAGACTTTATAAAGCCAAATAGGAAAATGAAAAACAATGTATCAATACACTATAGCAAATGTTACTTATACTTCATTTTCTCAATTCAAAGTGTTTCCAGAGGTATCATTATTCCATAGAATCTCAGATCATATTTAACAACCTTCCTCAAAGGGATCAATGGTCGTCATTCGGCTCAACTTGAGCTATTATGATATAGAGCTACCTACTTCAAGAGTCATCTTATTTATATCCTTGGACAGCAGCACTTTTAGATTTATGTACAATCTATCTTTGAAGCATCCACCTGTTGTGGGATAGTTCTTTAGAGTCACACAGACCTACACCTCTTCTTTTAGCAGTGTGGTGCTACGCAAATTAACTAACCTCTCTGACCCTTAGCAAAATATCCTAGTTGACTCATTTCCTAGGACAGACCATTTAATTTTTTACATGATTTGTCTTTTTAAAATGTCTCATCCTAGTTCATTATACCACTTTCTTTTGTAACAGCATCTGAAGGAAGCATTGTCCAACAGAACTTTCTGTGATGATGGAAATATTGTATATCTGAACTGGCAATATGTTAGCCACTAGGCTATGTGGTTGTTGAGCACCTGAAATGTGGCTAATGCAACTGAATAATTAAATTTTTAATTTTAATGAATTTAAAAATTTTAGCTACATATAACTAATGATTACAGTATTGGACAGCACACACTTTCTCATGAAGCAAGCCAATCAACACAGAAAAGTAGCAAACAATATTTTAAGTGCCACCCAAGATTGTATTCATGAGCCTCTTAACTATTCCTTCCAAATACTGTATATGTAAGAATTCAGAAAACTATATGTAAGAATTCAGAAAAGGTTTCTACAACTGAAATAAGTTTTTAGCTTATTTAAAGAAAAATATAAAGCAATGCTGCCAGAGATTTAAAACTCAAAGTTAACAATATTTTCAGTTTTTCAGAAAGCAAAGATGACTTAATGTTTTCAACAGGCACATAAAATGTATTCTCTACCAAACTTATTTAAGAGATAATCTCAATTATGAAGCAAAAGAATCTTTATGCACAAAGGAGACAAAGGAAACATGCCAAAATATTTACTGTGGATATTCTAGGGTTATAGAGCTATGGGAAGTGATTTTTCTTTTCTTCTTGATTTCTTACTCAATAGTCCAAGTTTTCTATAATGAATATGGTTTACTTTTGCAACCAGGGAAATATATATAAATGTTTATACATAATCTAAAGGGCAAAAAAAAAATCTACTTGTTTACTTTACAAGCTAAACTATTGAGATGAAAAGCTCTCTGACCCAAAATGATCCATTTTATCTGCAAGCTGTCACTTTTACTTAGAGTTCTACTTGTTACAGTGAAAAAACGAATTAGATGTAATTTCTCACTGCAAAAATAGGAAACCCAAATTACTGAGTTGGACTCCTAAAGAATACAGAATGATATAACCAACTTAGGTAATTCAAAACCCACTGACATAACTAAATTGCCTAATAATTTAATACAAATTGTTTTTCCTTACTTACCCCTAAAAATCTCTAGAGTATTTACTCCCTAGCATAACTATTTATAACCATTTATAAATGGATATAAGAGTTTACAATGTTTTCTATAGCCAAAAAGGATTTCTTTCTAATATCTATTCTCCACCACGTTTCTTAAATCATCATTTCAATTAGTACAAATAGGTAACATAAGCAACAAAGCATGTTGAGTCTGTTGCTACAAATTTACCAAAACTTTTGGTCAGAGGTTAGATACATTACATGTGAACCTAGCTATGATATGCATTACAATTTGAAGATACTTAATCCATTATTTGTAGCTAAGACCTAAAGAACACTGCCCTCAATTACTCAGAAAAATACTTTTTTAATATTTCAGTCCAGTCACAGTAGACAAACTATTTAAATCTGTCTTGTCTACAATTAACTTTGTATAGTTATTTAGTTTTTTAAAAAAGAGGGTTCATATTATGTTATACTTAAATTACGATATTAATATATCTTGTAAACCCCAAAATATGACACTAAGAGAAATTGACCTCAATGAGTAATAGAAAAGCTACAGAATATGGAAGCATAATCCAATGGAAACTGGGTTACCAATAAAATTCAAATCAGTATATTAACAGAACTATACAAATGTTCAAAACACAATTAGTAACTGCATTTTTAAATTAGTTCATTGTGAAAACTGGGCAAAATATTTTCAACAATTTTGGATCAACAGAAATTACAGAGTATTTTAAGACACTAGAGAATGAGTGGCTGAGAGTATTGGGACTACATATAAAGGTAGTGAAATTCAAATATATGAAAAATTCTGTGCTGGCCAAACAAAACTGCAAATTTCTAATGGAAGACTTCCCCTTTTTGATCCTTAAATGGTTAAATGGTAACTAAATGAAAAACAACTCAGAAAAACAGTAAAAATGCTGTATAAACATTTAGAAAGACCTCGAAAACTTTGTAATTATAGTGAGTCTGGGAAAAAAAATTTTGTAAATGTCTTACTACCTCTTAAACTTTAAGAGTCATCAGATTATTTAGCTTAAAAATTTTATTAACGAGAACTTAAACTACAGCTTCAAAATGCTGAACTAGGTAATCACATATTAATAAGACAATTACTCATTAAAAGTGAATTACCCACTCTGTTCTACCAAAGTAGTAGTTATGGTTGCCAAGTAGTATTGCTGCCTTTGGTTGTGGAATTATAACCACCTATACTATAGAAGCATCATTCACCTACATTTTAAGCCAGTAGGAATGCTCTCTCAGAAACTGAGAAACTGAATGGATTCAATTAGTTTTAAATACAATGACCAACTGTGTATGTATTATGAAAATAAAAGCCAATCTCCTACACCTTCCCTTTTCTATCATCTGCATACTTCCCACATGAGTCAGTAAGATAAAATGACTCAGTCTAGTAGACCAGGTGAAGGAATTCATTAACATAATCTAATGAAAATGAAATAAAACAGTCCAGAGTTTTCAGTGTTTTTTCACTTTGTAATAAACTGGAAAAATATTTCAATTAAGTAAAACAACCAAATACCACAAAAAAGCCACTCCCATCATCCAAAATACTACAGCCCTTATATAACACTAGAGAAATTTTAATATAAAACAGTAAAAATTAGTATACCATTCATCAGAAACCTCAAAATATTCAAAAAACATTGAGATGGACTCAGAAAAGGCTCAAGAAGTCAAAACCTCAGAATCCACACATCCTGGTGTTACCTAAGTTGCAATTAACTACCCACACATTTAATAATAATCAACTTTTTCAAAGACATACAGACAAATTAATCCATCTATTTAAAAAACTATTCTTTATAGTTGAGGACTTTACATTAACTTTTATATACTACTCAGCAAGGTATCTGTCTGTACTCCAAATTAGCTCTCAAGATCCAGGAAATAAATACAAACTTGTGATTGCTTTGTGATCACTGATGGCCTGTTTATGTAATTCTAGTCCACTAAATGTAATTCCATAGAATAAGCTCTTGATTATATATAAAAACTCTAATATTTCTTGATGAAATACTATAATTCTCTTCTCCAATGGTTACAATTTTTGAAAGGTATGCAAAGAACTGAGTATCACTTCCATGAAAGACAAAAAAAAAGTATAATTTTGTTCCAAGATTAACTTAGTCTCATGTACTTCTATTAAGTCTTTCAAGGATTCCAAAGAATCTTTTCATATCTCCATTTCTGGAAAGTGAAATCAGTACAGAAGTAATTTGGGAACTTGAAAATGGCATTCATTTTTTTCAGCAGATGCCAAATTTTTGACCGACATGGCTCCCACAATTACTTTGTTACCATCAGTCCAGTCAGTTAACAGGTTGTAGGAAAAGATTCGTTTTTGCAGACACTGCTAAGCTGTTTAAAGAGAAGAGAGAGAAATTAATTTAGTGATTGTAAAATGCACAAATATTTAAAATATTTTGAACACTTTTTGTTGGATTATATCAGAGGTGTGACTATATTTTAACAAAGGTGGACTTTTTAGATAAGTCTGGTCAAGGAAGTGCAGAAACAGTAAGTCAATATGACAGAAATAGGTCAATATGATGTGTTAGTTCAATTAATGTATGAATTCCTGCCACCATCAGAAGACAAATATTAAAAAGCTACAGCTTTAGTCTAGTTGTGTATCATTTTCCCAGAGGCACAATTAGGGGAAAAAAGGGTCTCCCAAATACTAGTTTTCAACCATTACAGTAAATAGAGGCAAACCTGAACATTTAAAAACAATTCATTTTATATTCCAGAAATCTCCTTTACCCAAATACTAATCATCCAGAACACAATTTTCTAAAAATAGTAAGACAACAGTTTCATATTAATCATAACTTTTTAATTAACAAGTAGTGAAACGGACACTTTTAAGATATTGTTTACTACATACTGAAATAAACAGATCTGCTTAAATTCAGAAACTCAAACATTTACAGTAAAATGTACTTACACATAAATATGACCAAATTTATTTAAAGCCCCTGTTAGATAGGTCCTAAATACATGCAATTGTCATGTAAAAACAAGACCATGAAGTTGATGTAAAAAAATGACAAAAATCACTAAGTCACCAAAACTGGAAAAAAAATAATGAAATGGAAACTATGAAAAGACAGTTAATAAAACATAAGAAACCTAACAAAGCAGCTTTTAAAATAGGCCATACTAATCTTTCCGTTTTCAAAAGTTCTTGATCAAGTAATCCCAAAATCTGCCATTTATAAAATGACATTCTAAAAATCTACACTCAGAATTTCAAGACATCCCAATTCTGAAAGCTTTGACTACTGTTTCTCCTCAGCTCCAAACTTTAAATGCAGGAAAATCATTGATGTTAAGGAAGAAAATATTCCAAGGGAATGGTATAATTTTTAGAAAAATGAACTTACTGCTTCCAGAACCTTTTGATTAAGACCCACAGTCAGCATTAACAACAATCATTTTTCCTACTTTCATCCATTATTTTCCAATGTCATGTTAGAGATGAATAAATTCTTTGAGCCCATAACTGAAAGATCAACAAACCTGGTTTTATTACGACACCATATTTTTGTCATTGGTACTGCACAAAATTATATACAAAGAAGTATATACAAAATGTTCAAGTATTAGTTAAATTTCAATTCAAGGCTTCTGTTTCAAAAAGCTACATTTAACATATTTCATAAAGATAGCACAAATTAGTCATTTCAAATAATCTTTCCAACTAATTTTGGTTTATATTATATATATATATAATTCAGTAGGCACTAAAAATCCATGCAGCTGCATTGTGAGGGGCTTGCTCCTGCCCTTAGGTATAAGCAGGTTCATCACTCCAAGTTGAGTTTGGCTACTACTCATTCATGCTCAAGTGCAGTAGTAGATGATTTTACAAAATATGCTGTGATGCACTAGAAACCAGAGACCAATTTAGGTCTCAAATTGTATTATCTAGCAACAAAACATTTACAGTTGTGCAAGAACAAGGATTCCATTTTCATAACCAAATAACAACAAAATAAAACATTTTACGTGTAAGATAACTTACATCTTTGGACTGCTGGAAAATACTTTTTAATTATAAACATTTTAAAAATAAAAGACAGCAGAAGCCCTGATATTACCTCTTTTTCCTCATTTCTTATACTACCTTTTAAAATAAAGCAGGAAATGTGGCCAGCAGCTGGTCCCGTCTCTTCTGCCCCAACAGCTGTATCCACTTTAGCACAAAGAAAAACAAGGATGCTAAATACGTATATACTTTATCAAACAGTGACGTTTCACAAAGAATTTCTTAATGCCTCTTACACTGAAGGACAACATGAGTCAATTTATACAACTGGACAATAGATAATAGAGTACTTCAAGGGAATAATACATCCCATCTTTGGAAAAAGTGTCAATCTTGTCATTTAAGTGGCCAGAACCACTCAATTTTAAAAATTATTTTTATTAAGACATTAATTATTTAAAAAGTCTTTTTAAATAGGACATTACAAAAAGGACAAATACTTTCAAAATATGGGGAATAAGATTCTTTGTGAAGCCTCACTTTACACGTTTTCATTCACATTTCACAACCTTCAATATCTAATCATACATACATAAATTTAACCTAAAATTTTAATACAACAAAAATAAAGAGTGTTCAACAATTTATTCATACTCAGTGATAGTGTAATCACTGTGCTGGTCCTCAAAGAAACATTTCATTAACCATTCTTATTCTTCCTCCCATTAACTAAAACACAGAAGTCTCATACGCATGTTAATTTCAAACTTCTCTAATAGTGAGTTATTAAAATCGGTTACTCTGAATAGACTGTATTTCTGTACCTTCTACTGAAAACTAAAAGGTATTCTTGAATATTTCAGAGATATCTGTCATCTCCAGCAAAATAACTATCACATTTGTGCATGCCCCAGGTACTTATTGTCAACCTTTGAAAAGTTGCTCTAAAATCGGAATTCCAATTTGCACCTTGTACAACTCGGAACTTCCATTCAACTTCACCTGTTTCACTGTCTCCAAACTGTATCTCTATAAGCAGGTTTCAGTGTACAGTTGGAACCGATGTCATCCAAGGCCATGTCCACACTGGGGACAGAAGAGCTAGGTACACGCAAGTCTGGGTAAGGGGACACATTAACAGCTATTTCAACCAGAAGAAGCATCTTAAATACATTATTGACCAGCACAAGTCTGTTTCCAGGGTGGACAGGGCCCAAATTAGATTCCCCTCCCACTTTCCAAAAAAAAAAAAAAAAAAAAAATCACACACACACAAATTGAGATGTTGCCCATTAAAGTAGACTAAGCAGCAGAGCATGAGCGTTACGTGAAGAGATGGATCCTTACCAGGTTGTGAGGCGGGAACGACTGTTCTGTAACCCCTACAACGGAGCCTGGCAGGAAGGAAATCACCTAAAAAAGAAACTGTCAGAGAGATTTAATAGTCACATGTTATCATTAGGAGTTGGTTACTGTGTCACATTCATGCTTTTAGCTAAACACTTAAAGATTCAATATTACTTTTTTCCTCCTCTGAAATGTGTCCAGTGAAGATGTCCCACTAAGGTGTTTTACATGGTGTAAGGGAGTTGAAAGGGGTAAACGCGGATAAAGAGCAGATTACTTGACCCTACATTTTAAGAGAAGACGACGCCTTCCGGGCGCACGCCGAGCAGAACTCCACCGACACCTTATCCTTGTCCACATGGAGACACACTCCTCCCGCCGAGTCGTCCTCTTCCAGCAGGTCCTGCTGCTGCTTGCCCACCGGCAGGGCGTAGTCGTGGTCGCCGGCGGGCGAGTCTCTGAAGAGCGAGGTGGTCAGCCGCAGTCCCACGCCGCTCAGCCGGCTCAGCAAGCGAGCCAGTCCAGTCTCGTTGGCCAAGACGGCCCGTAGGTAGCGACTCTCCTCCTGCAGTGCCTGCACGCGCTTGCCCAGCTCCCGATTCTCGGCCCGCAGCTCCTGGTTCTCGGCTGCCAGTCCCCGGACTCGACTCTCCAGCCCCATCACGTACTCCTTCTTCTTCAGCCGATTAAGGCGGGCAGCGGCCGCCGCCGCCTTCCGGGGGCTCTTTGTCGCCGCCTGGTTGTTGTCGTTGCCGCTGCCGCCTCCGCCGCCGCCTCCCGAGGACTTTCTCCGCCTCTTTTCGCCGCTGCCACTGTCACTGCCGCTGCTGCAGCCCCCGATGCCGTTCAGCAGCCTTTGTAGCAGGTCAGAAAAGCGCTGCATCTCAGCAGCCGCGGCCTCGTCGTCGTCGTCCCCTCGCCACAGGCCGCCGCTGTCCGAACCTCCGCCGGACGAGGAGAGAGGCCCGGGCGAACTGAGCCCGGGCTCCAGGTGCCAGTCCGGTTGCCGGGGGTCCAGGAGATCCGCCAGTTCCAGCCCGGACAGAAAGTCCA